AATATTCTCAATATTCTTAATATTATTAATATTAATAAAGATTAATAATATCATTAAGATTGAAATTATATAAAAAATAATTTATATAATATATAATATATAATATATAATATATTTGTATATTTTCTCGAATAACAATGATTAATTCAAATGATTATATTTACCAAATTTAAATAAAGTTACCAATGAAACTGTATATAAAGTGTTTTAAATCCTTTTTAACTTTTTTTTTTAATCAGAAACATTTGAGCATTCAACCTATAAATATCACAATCGAGTCATTGCAAATTTTATCATGGAAAAACAAATAAAAAGCCACCCCCACAAAAAGGAGTATGTTTCATTCTATATACTTATGTTTGTCATACGATCATATCAAATTAGTCAATGAAACATGAATAAAATTATCCGCATTGTTTCTTGCTGCAAGGTGGACCTTTACACAATGCTTACAATGAAGAGCTTTAAGAGAATCGGCGTTTTTTGCTAATCATCTTTCTGTCATGATAATCTTGTCAAATTAGATCATTGAGAAAGATAATTATGGAATAAATGGAATGAATGGAATGAATATTGCAGATTGATTAGAAATATATCCTGTAATAACTAATATAATAACTAATATAATAACTAATATAACTAATAACGCATATAAAATAATGTTGCTTTACAAAAAAGATTGTTCTTTTTGACTGAATGAAATATAAACTAATGTGGTTTGGGCGTGATTACTAAACAATATCATAAGCACATGCACGGACTTTGACTTTATTTTACTAAACAAATATTACTAAATATTACTAAATATTACTAAACAAATATCATAAGTACATGCACGGACTCTGTTGACCAAAAGATAATTAGTACAAGATAAGATAATAAATGCTTTTAAACGGAGATAAGATAAACATTTTACTTTATCGAAATCTTTGATAAATTCCATCAGTTTAATAAACTCAAAAAAAATTTAACATGATTAAGTAAAACCTTTTCGTATGTGTAAGGGTTTGCAGGTATACAAGTAGATAATTTGGTCCAATTAAATCACTAAACCAAAGTGAAGCAGGAAAATCGTTATTTTTTTTGGGAATTTGAAATTTGAAAACTTTGAATCTCTAAACTCTAATCAGTTTATATAAACTCTAATCAGTTTATACGCTGGTACACAAGTTTACTTTTGTTGTATATTCATTGGTTTAATACCCTGGATATTACTGCTTCATTATAGTACCCAGATCCAGTGTGAACCAACCAGAGCCCCCAAAGATCAATGGCGCAGCCATAGCCGCAGATAATAATTTACCAATCATATTGTGTTGTATAAACAATAATCGATGTCAATACTAAATCTCAAACCCCTTAACGTTAACGTTAATAAACATGAATAGCTTTAAGGCTTATCATCGATTGGTTATTTATATGCTGCGGCTGCGCCATCGATCTGCGATTCTCCAGTGTCATGATTGGGAAATTTGTAATTGGTTATTTTGGATATTTGTAATTAAGCATTTGTAATTGGATATTTGTAATTGGAAATTTGTAATTAGACATTTTTGGGAATAATAATATCCTGATCCATTGGAAACTTCGTTTCTGCTTATTCACATACGGATCAGGATATTATTCATTAATCCCGTGATCTTGAAATAATGATCGGAGGATTGGAATATATAATCATATATTTCTTTGATGCATTTCTTTGGTACAATATATAATACATATATTGTTTTTGGTTAAATATATATCTAAAAGTTTTGACAGCTTGGAATGTCAAAGCTTTCCCAGGGGTTTATTCAAGAATTATTCAAGAATTTTAATTTATTTTAAATATAAATATTATAAATATTATATAGTTATTCAATGATTTGCTATCTCAGTTTATGAAATAAGATTATTATACGTATCTAGTATTATTCATTGGCTTATTCATGGTATAGACAGTATAAGAAATGTAATAAATTACAATAGGTTGATTTGATTCATGTGACTTGTAATAAAACTACATCGCAAACAATCTAAGCCAATATTTACCATTAAGAATTTACTATCTATATACACCCCTTATATACTGTATATCATGTATTATATATAATAATCAAATTGTCATTAACAAAATAAGATTATATTATATATCTGATTTGTTAAGTTTTAAATTAGTTTGGTCATAATTATAGATGCTGGTGAAACTAAATAATACTATAATACTGGTGAAACTGGTGACTATCTAAAATCTGATTGGCTGTTATATTAAATGTCATCAGTTTCACCATTCTCACCAAGAGTTTCATGAGTTTCATTTTATTATTAAAAAAGCGCCATATGACAGTATGTGTAAGATATCAACTTTTTTACCAAATTTAGAATTTATAATTAATTTTGATTGGTCCAAATAATGTAACACAAAAAATATACATATGGATCAGACGCCAAATTTTCAATTTATATATATAAAGTTTAAAATGTTATAACATTATTAAAAATAAAAATAAAAGAAAATCCTCTTTTAAAAATATAGTTCAGATTATAAATTATTAATTTGAAAGACGGTTTTTTAATTCAATAATTTTTTTAGCAAGTTATACCATTTTTAAAACATAAATTAAAATTAGATATCTTAAACTGCCCTGCACTGTATAACAAAACTGCTTATACAATTCTTAATATATACTGTATATATGGCAAAAAAAAAAAAAGTCAAATTGTAAGTCCAATAATACGTACTTCTCATTGAAACATATAATATATACACTAAAAATACACTAATTTTATTGTGAATATTACATATATATATATATATATATATATAATAGAAAGTTATTATAGTAAGGCTAATTTTATGTTACAGTGCATAATGTATATAACTATTTGTATAATATTTATTTTTTGCTTCAAATGTGTTGTATCGCAAGAAATTAGCACGTAATTTATTCATTACTATAGAATATATTACGCGTGATATCTTGTGATTTTTGATAAGAATTTGTGACAATGAAATATACATAAATAGTTAATTCAAATCTTAATAAAGATATATCAAAGAAAGATGTTTGATGCTTCCGAAAGATGGACTTGGGCCACCTTGATGACTTAAGCGATAATATGTCCAAAAAGAAAACCCCCGAGACATGATTATTGCCAAATTTGTTTAAATTCAGCCGTTGATGATCTAATACAAATTTAATATACTATATCTTGGTAAATAAAAGTATATATATATATGTTTAAGTAATATAATAAAAAAAAACATAATAAATCGCGATAACCCGTATATAGATATACATTGAACCATTGAACAGCGCGTGGGTGATAATAAACATTGGATTTTTCACACGCACAGAGACAGCAGCAACAATAGAAACAAACGTTCAGGCCATCTTTCACAGATCTCGTGACTTGATAACAAAAATTACTGTCTCGGGAATTTTATTAAGGGAAACCTTTAGTTGGGGTCCCAATGGTTAAAAATGATCCCTCCTCTTTCTCCCCCCTTCTTCCTGACAATCATTTATACAGATATTCATTTAGTTTATTTAAAAGGCTAAAGATCGACTACTGATCTTTTTAATATTGTGATCTATCTCACAGTCACCTCACACAAGATTTAAAGTATTCACAAAAGTACATGCAATATTCAAGTTTTTTTTCAAAATATCTTAGGCAACTCTATATTGTATAATACGCGTATTTTAACTAATGGTGTGTACGTAATTCAATTACTAAACGCTTAGCGTAAATTACCTGTTTTGGATTCACAAAATTCTTTATCGAAACGGGATGTTCTTAGTTATCACTTATCCGCTTATCCGGTGATGAACTTACCCTACAAAGTGACTATAACAAAAGAATCTTGATAAGCATTATTGATCAACAAATCCATGATTTTATTCAAACTGCTGGATGATCCGGAAATCCCATTTCGGTAAAATTAGTATAATAGAGTATAACGCTAAGGAGTGTAAAGACGCGATTTCACGAATTAGGAATCTTTAGATATGATCTGAAATTCGAATATATAATTAGTTTGGACATTCGGATATATGGTTAGTACACACTTTTCACCAAGCCTTACCTCAGAATTCATTTCACCATATTTAGTCATTCCATCTTTGATAGAACTTGTGTAAAAATAACTTGAATCGATTTGAAACTTGGCATTTTAATATTTGTTAAGATCTTTTATAGTACCATGGATCATCACTTTGTAGTTCCAGTCGAAATTACTGTATTTAATGCTGGTCACTATTCTAAATAAAGAAAAAGTTATCGATGATCACGTGACTAGCGCGAAATAATTAAATAAGATGCTGGTAATCAAAGTTTAACTTAAAACTTTAAATATAAAATTGGTTACGCCTAAAAATTGTCCGTTGAAACAATCTTCACAGTATTATTAGATTACCCGGGTTACCTGTGTAGATTATTATATATTTCGGGTAATCATAAACGTAATAATCCCCTAGTATATAATCCATAGTATATAATCCCTAGTATATAATCCCTAATTATTATCCCTAGTTATAATCCCTAGTTATAATCCCTAATTATAATCCCTAGTTATAATCCCTAATTAAAATCCCTAATTAAAATCCCTAGTTATAATCCCCAGATATAATCCCTAGTTGTTAGTTACTCTTACACAAGGATTCGTACAGTTACAATGGAAAGAATGGAATATTCCTAAAAAAAACCACGATTTAAAACAGCCTTTTTATAGATTCTAAAGATGGCGTTCCAATAGTGCCCTGAAGCTAATGAAGCTTTGAATTCTGGTAGGAAGCATTAGAGCGCATGTCTCAAATAAGGTTGCAAAAATTACCGTAATTTTGCGTAAGCAGATAGGTGATATCATAAGTCTGCATCTATAATTTTCATGTAATTGTAATTCAGAACATATTGAAATTTTCGGTGATTGAGGAGATACAATTCGGATCATATATTTAAATTAAATGATACGTGATGAAATTTGATACAATTGTAACATTCGTAACACAACTCTAGTCTCAAGCTGAAGAATGTCCTCCTTATGATACCCTGGTCACTATATCAAGATCGCAGGGTATAAATCAGTTATACCCTGGGCACTATGTGTATAAGCGGAAATTTCATTTCCGCTTATACCCAACTGCCCAGGATATAACTATTACTTATTCTCTGTGCATGCCTATGATCGCACAATAGATATTTGAACGTAAACAATTTTGCAATTTGGATTGGTTCCTTCTTTTGATCACATGAGATGGGCGTGTTCCCAGGTAGAGGAAATGGCATGCTACTATTTTTGCATGTCTAAATTTTTGCATGCCCTTAGAAGTATATTAAAATGAATGATTCAACTGACAAATCAAAAATAATACCGTAATATATTATATATATAGAATTTTATCGTTATAGTATGACATGACATGAATTTTTACCAATGGAATAGCATGGGTTTTTACCAATGGCATGTATTGAGTTTTTGTCAATGGCATAGCATAAGTTTTTGTTAATGGCATATCAATGAAATAGTATGAGTTTTTCGTCAATGGCATAGTATGAATTTTTTGGCAATTTTTTTTTTTTAGTCGCATCCCAGGCATGCCTACTCTCAATGAACCCAATTGATAGTGATTTATATAGCTGAATCAGGATTAAATAAATTAATAAATCATAGAGGCAATGCTTAAGTTCATTAGTGTATAACCAACCTAATCATGTTTAAAAAAGAAAAGAATGACACCCTTATTTTGAAATAAACACTAATTTTAAAATGCGCACTCTATAGATGCATGTACTATGTAAATTCTCTAAATGTACGAATGTACGATATAACACGGTCCCATCTCAAGAGTTATATACATTTTGCTTTCATAAATGTACACCCTCTCTAAATACATATTTCAATTCATTTTTACTATGGTCCCGAGGGGGTGCGTTTGACTGTATATCAAATTACATCAAGGATAACAATCGATTTTAATGAAGTCTTTTTAATCGGTCTACATAATTCTGGTCAGTCTAACGCTAGTCCCACGGAATGATAGCCAGAATTATAATATCACGTGAATCAGACCTGATAAAGAATGAAGATAATGAGGAAGACGCAAAGTATTTTATTGTCTCAAATATTATTGTGTTGGAACACTTTTGTTAATAGACATTTTCAAAAAAACCATTGTCATATTAATCGACTTTCGTGTCCATCTTAAATTAGAGGCAAACTTTTTTTACTATTTAATCTAATCAATATTTCTCAGCTTCCTGAGACAACTCTTCGAATTCCTTTTCTTCTCTCATTTTACTACCCCTCTTTCTTGGAATGAATCCACGACCGATTTCTTGTTCTTGGACTTTTTGACCAAAGCCACCTTTTTGAGAAGGTTGCTTCGTACCTTCACCGTACATTTTTGCTTCGGCTATAATATCTGATATTAATATATACACATATATAAGTACACGTATAGATACAGATATAATCACATAAATATATAACAATATATCATTATACATGTAAAATCTATCAAACATCTCAAACATCTAAGGATTGGACCTGATGAAAGAAAACCCTAAAATCGGTTGCCCAAGACCAAGGTAAAGATTGAGGGTGGACTTTTTTTTTACCCGGGTCCAATCCTTAAAAAACGCCAACAACCATTTAGACACGAACCTGTAGGATAAGTGCCCTTAACATTTAGAGGATGTACGGAATTTCTGTTTATTGGTAGTTGATCTTTCGTATCTTCTTTAGAAGGCATGTTTGATGGTCTTTGTGTTGAAATTATTAATTCTTGATCAAAATTTAACTTTCATTCACCTGTGATATTTCAATTTAAAAATTATAAATGGATTAGTAATAATTACATATAAATGGATTAATAATGCCGATATTGATAATATTGATAATATTCGATATTAGTTAGTGGATATTCAATATTCAACAATATTAAACAATATTCAATATATATATTATATTATATAGTAAATATCGTAATGTTCGATGTATTCGATGTTGTAAATATGACGTTATAACTCAGATTATCAGAAACACTGTCCGAAAGAGATTTTTATTTCGATCGATTATCATTTTTAATTTATCATTTAATTCTAATAAAGTAAAATCAATATCCTAAGTATTGATAATTATAACGTATATGAATTTAGAAATTGTTGTTAAATCAGTAGCTAAAAATGATAATGAATGATAGATAACGCGTAACTTACCTTAAAGGTTGGCTAAATTTAAATCATAAAATAAATCATGAAATCAAAATGCATATTGAAACACTAATAAAAATTGAGGAACATCTAGGAAACAAATTTATGCAGAATATTAATGTTGTTAGGTGGGAATCCACTTAGATTAGAATGGAATAATAATATCCTGATCTGTTGGAAACTTTGTTTCCGCTTATTCACATACGGTCAGGGTATTCCTCCCGTGATCTTGATATAGAGATCGGGGATTATCCCAATCTTAACCTTAATCAACTTAAATTCTGTTCCCACTTATAACATTAGTATCCTAAATTATCATAATGATAGTAATGATATACGTATAGTGTTAATAACGATAATAAGTAAATCAGCGATCCCCATTTTTGGTTCCCGATACCAAGTGAAACGAAGTTTTTGCTATCAAAATATACCGGGACGTAACAAGTTATTATATGCATGTGATGCAGTGAGATAAAGCCCTTCCATCGTGACAAGACTTTTAAAATTGTGTGATCTTAATAAATATTGATAAAAGGAACAGGTTCGCGATCATGCAAAAGCAATAGAATCACATGTATACAATGGTTTTAAGGTAAGACGAATTTACTATGTGTTGGCTTGCTAAAATACAAACAAGATTTACGTATTATATTTATTAATATTTATTATTTACTTATTACAGGATAAAATGCATATTCTTTGTGACAATGATGTTAACTGTAAATGCGTCACGTTGATCATCCTATTTTCATTGATCGATGATCATGAGTATGTTATTGGTGGCTGTGAAAATTTATAACTTTCGAAGTATTGAAATAACAAGATGGTCTAACTGTGCCGGTACAGCCTGTATTTTAGCCATTACCTTGGATACGTTGTAAGATGTTAACACATGTCGCGCTGGTAATGCCTGTTAATTTTTTTCAAATCAAAAGGATTTATGTCATTTATTGACAGGTTAATGCATATAGTGATCACAATTTTTTTTTTTTTTTATCCGAAAAAAGATGTAACTTGCGGAATATAATTAAAATGACTGGCTTTGAATTATTCAGTAAATTGTTCAGTATATTATTTTTGATGATTCAGTAACAGTTGAAAAAAAAAATTTAACCGGTTACATATAATAGATAAAATGTATTATTGACACCTGCGCTAATAGTTTGTTGTCCTTTCTAAAAATGTTAATAACCATATGACTTTACCATTGGGCTGAAAAGTTTATTTTTTTTTTTTTTGGAAACAATAACTTTATGTGTAAATCATCTACCACGCACTTCCTTTCATTAATCACTTTTTAAATACTTTTTTTTTTTTTTTTAAATGCTATAATATAATTTAAAAAAAAAATTTTTTTTTTTTTTTTTTTTTTTGCTTTTTTTTTTTTTCTTGAATTATAAAATTTTTTTTTTTTGAATTCTAAAAAAAAAAATATCCTAACGCTAAAAAACCATTAACGCCTAATTATATATAAATCTATATTGTCAGTATTTCGTTCATCTATTTCGTTTATTTATCTATAATTAAA